GATAATTAGAGGGTTTGGGATTGTTAAGGTTGCCCAAAAATACTGATTTGTGAAGAAAATCGCAAAAATTAATCTCCAATCTGCAAGAATTTGGTGTACAAATGAAGAACTAGGTTTAAATAAAAGGGAAATCGAGAGAAATTTGGGAAAAAATAAAAAACTAGCCGTTATGCTGGGCCCCACATGCGTTTTCCGTCACCTGAGCTCAGATGAGGTGGTAATACTGATGTTTAATTTTTTTATGAGGTGGTAAAGTAAATGTTTTTTTTTTGGAGGTGGTAAATTCGACAAAGTCATTATTTGAAGGTGGTAAAAATTATTAAAACTTGATATATATAATTTCACCATGCTAATCAATCAAATCTATGAAAGCAGAGGAAATCTTTAGCTATCACCAAAAGAAATAAAGTTTGGCTTATAAAGCACTTCCAAAAATTGAATAACATTAGAAAAGACAACAAAATTTCCCCCCCGTTAAAATTATACAGTACATTTCATTTTTGCTTTTCTTTACAATACTTCTATTGAAATGAATACTATTTCATTTAACAAATTTTTTTGCTTAATTTGTTTGGTTAGTCATTATGCATTGTCCTTGTTAGCTTCAATTAATTATACTTAATTACCTATACTTGACAATTCAGTCTTTTATAAAAATCCATACGGGTATTCGTCAAAGTTTTATATGAAGTACTCATATTATAGGTTTTAATATCGTTGGTGTCCGCTAAACACTAGAGAGAACAGTTAAAATTTTTGTCTAGGGCAAAAGTGCTAAGTTAGAGAATCGAGGGCGACCTTAGCTTTAATTTCACTAATTTTAATAAAGCACAGTTAAAATTTTTAATATTGACAGTTAAATTTTTTGAACACTTTTACCCTAGACAAAAATTTTAACAGTCTCTAAGCTAGAAAAGTCAATTATTAACCATACATAAGTTTAGGTTATTTTGCAGGCGTTAACTAGAGAATCGAGGCCGACGTTAGCTTTAATTTCACTAAACTTCATAAAATAAAAAAAAAACATAAACAATTTGGATATTTATAGAAGTGTCGCCTCCACAGTTCACATCCTTGACCCATACTTATTACATTATACATTTATACTAGTGGCGGATCTTGGCAAAATATATTAGAGGGATTGTGATTAAAATTTCTTACCTTTCCTTCAAAACTAATCATTATATCAGTTCATTATGATAATTAACCAGGGGTTAAACCCCAAATGGTCTTGGTGGAAGGCCCCCTCTGTATCATACGGACTACTTCACTAAACTTAGCAGTCAAAAACATTGGTCAACTTGGTTAACAAATCAAAAACAACAACTTTAACAATGCATGTAACTATAATTTTAGTTTAACTAATTTGAAAAATAAAATATTTGAACAGAATCACAGCTAGACCAATCCAGTTGGCAAACTGCCTACAATTATTGAACATAAATTACGACTCCTTTGTAAGTTAAAAATTTGATAACCTCTTCTATATATATCTGATTTTCTCTGTTTATTCAAACTATAAATAAACACTAAAATGAGGCAAATTATTCAATCAAACAAACTCTCCTCATTATTCATTATTAAAGATTTTTCTCAGCAGAAAATTACAACCACCTACATAATTAATTACACTGATCAACGTGAAAAATACATTCTTATGAGTAGTACTAAAGTTTGCAATACTTCGACTGTCATACGCAGTACAAAATACAGTCGAAAACGTCGTTCAAGAAATACTATAGGCAGAGGAATACCAAGGAGGGGTATGATTAAAATCAGAATTGCTGCATATGTTCTTCATTTCTTAGCTAATGTGCTGAAGATCGATGGTCGTCCATGATTAATTAATTAGTTAGCTATCCTAATATATCTTAATTCGTTTCTTCTTTTTGTTCCTCGCAACTCAACTTGAATGTATATGCATAATTTTGTATTTGATGTACCAATTGTTTATATTGTGAAATGAAGGTACTTTAGATTAATGTGATGTTGAAATAAATCGAATAGATAGGTGTATGTGAAGATTGTATGTACACCTAATATTTTATTGTGAAGGATGATATGCAAGTTGTAGGCTTGTAGCTAGCATGAATCTTCTCAACAAATTAGATTTGTACGAGTATTGAACAACATGATTTAGATACGATCATATATTTAACTTTCTATTGCATTAAGGCCAGTAGATGATGGACGTGTAGTTATAGGCTTATAGCATGATATTAAATTATTAAGATCAACTATGTATCAAAATTTTCAGAACCGTATTTGATACTTTGTATAATTGTATATTGATACTTATTATTATTATTATTATTATTATTATTATTATTATTATTATTATTTGCAATACTTACTACTTTATAATAACCAACTTCGTATATAATAACCCATTTACGAAGTATTACAGGAACAAACCTATAAAATAAAAGTATGCAAGCTAAGTTGTTTTAGGGCAGACGTTGGGGAACAACAGACTGCATAGCTAGCTAGTTTAATCAATTTAATAAAGAATTAATTATTAGAGGATCTACATGTCATTATGAAGATATGGAATTGAATTTTTCTCATTGCCTGCCAAATGCCAACAAGTTTCCTAGAACTTGACTGGGCCATTAACTTTGACTTTTGTCCTAATCCAGCTAATCACAAAACAAGTTCAGCCCATGAGCCCAAGCCCAAGCCTTGATTCCAACTATTTTGTTAATTAAATTTAATTTAATTTTGTTAAACACTTCGTATTATTTTTGTTGAAACCTTTTCATTTAAGGTTTTAACCTAAGCAAGACAAGGCCTCTGTAACGTAGCTTACAACTTTATGTAGATGCAATTAGAGAAATTTTGGTACTTTGATAGAATTAGAGAAAGAATGAATTGAGGAGATTAAAAACAAAAATTAGGGTTCTTGTAGAGTTATGGAGGTATAAAAGGAAAAAAATGGAGTTGAATCAAACGTAATTATAAACCAAAAAAGATAAAGGGATAAGGACCGAATATAAATTATAATTGCTATTAAAAGCTAAATCAAGAAAGTAGATAGTTAAAAAAATGTAGACCGATAATGTTGAGTGGTACATAAAATAGGACATAATAGTAGAATAGAGGATTAAAATCTGATGTAAAGTGTATTATACTGATAAAAGTTATCATCCATGTCAAGTCATTTAGAAAAATTATACTGGTAAAAGATATCATCCATGTCAAGTTGTTTAGAAAAATATTTTTTAATGCATGCATGTTGGACGTAGAGTAGAGGAGCATGCATGAAATTAAAATTACCAAAACAAGTAATCGGCTATATAGTTAGCCACCCTTGTCAACATGACCAATAAACAACCTAACACGAAATTTCTACGTCTAAAGCATGCGTATGTACTAAAAAAATACAAGTGATAAACAAAAAGAGAAAAGTCAACGACATTTGGGTCTATCATACAATAGCTAGGTTGGTTAAATTTCTTAATGTATAAGATTAACTGGAAAATCATAATGAAAGCTGAAGAATCAACATTAATTCTATAAACTATACATTAAAATCTAAATTAAACATCAAGAAATACAACATTATTTGAGACAGCCAGAAGTTAGGAGGACATGCTTTGTTGTCATGCTTCATATTCACCATATTATCCTACCAAACTCTCTAATCACAAATATTATCCCATTAATCTCTAATACATGCTATAAATAGTTATGCAAACACTTGATCTAGTAGATCCAAAAAAGATATTCATCTTCTTGATCAAGATATCGCGTCATAACATAAGTAGTGTAAAATGGAGAGCAAGATGATGAAGAACAAAGATGTTATCAAGGCAAGATGCAATCAATGTAAAAGATTATTGCCGAAAAGAGGCCAGATTAAATTGAGAATTGCGAAAATTGCTTACAATTTTATTGTTTCCAAGATTATCGTGGGAATTTCTAATCGCGTTGTCAACTTCCCTGATACATATTCCTCTTTAGAAGATTACAACAAATTATGATGTTACTATGTGTTATTTTTTTGGTTTTATGTAAACTCATAATTGGGAAAATTTAGTTTTATAGCAAAAGTGAGGAATGATCATAAGTTATTTCATCTTTCGTTCTTTAGTATCGAACTATCGATCACTTGTGTAAACTATTGAATGTGGATAGTCCTGTTTAATTATTATGGCTAATGAAATATGCAACTAACCATTGCATATAATGAGAATTAAGTGCCAAAAAATGGTATGCTCACTGATTTGCAAGTACATGTGTCGTGTGTCCTTGTATTTATACGTATCAGTTAAGTCTGTGTATAAGGAGAGAAATACATATACTAGACTACTTTAAAAGCAAAGAAAATAATTTGTTACACGTACATAATGTGTAGCATTCAAATAATTTTAATAAATGTTGCACATAATATTAAACGGACTTAGTAATCTATACTCTGTAGTATAGATAGCAGAGGGGTCGAGGGGATTATGTAGCCAGCGTTGGGAGTACTCTTGCATGCTCCACAACTCTTCCACGATTTCCATCTTTTCAGCACGTGTATTAAGCTACAGATTTAACACGATGCTTCACCTGTTCTGCACGTGTATAAAATATGCTACCCAATATCATGATATTTGATACCCCTCAGATTTCATACAATAGTATATTAGTATACAGAAAACGATGTTTGTAAGATAATATAAATGCTGCTGAAACATTTTGGACAATTATTCAGACCATTGTAACATGATCATTTATCACTTCACTTGTTATCAAGTTATCAGTGTACATTAAACAATGTTACTCTTATGTAGAAATGTATAATAATATAATTGCTCCTAAAACATTTTGGACAAGTTTTCAGAGCATATATTGTAGTATAAAATACTAGTTAAAACATTATATTTAGATCTTACCTTATTATAATCTCCAATTGTATGATTTGAATATTAAATTTCCTATTTGAACCATCATTTCATTATATATATCTCTACACTTTAATTTCATCATACTCATTAAAAATCAAATCCAAAAAAATGGCTCAGTTTACTTTCTTCCTTTTCATGCTATTCTCTCTTTCTTTCAGCACCCTTTTTAGCCAAGCTTACAGTTCACTTTCGGACACAAAACCATTAGTTTTACCAATACACCAAGATGCTGCTACTACACTTTTAGTAGCCAACATCTTAGTAAGAACACCCCTAAAATCCGTGGGCTTCGTAGTGGACCTAAACACCCGCCATGTTTGGGCTAATTGCGAAACCAACTACGATTCATCCACCTTTAGTCAGCCCAAATGTGATTCGGTCCAATGCAAAATAGCCGGTACAAGCTATTGCTTTACTAGTTGCCAAGGGGCTAGACCGTTTTGTCACACTAATACATGTGGGTACTTGTTAGAAAATCCGGTGTCTCACCAAAGTACAATTGGTGAGCTAGCCCAAGATGTCATTGCTTTTAGTTCAACTGATGGGAAAAAACCCGGCCCATTGGTTCGTATACCCGATTACCTCTTCACTTGTGCCCCATCCGATTTAGTTGAATCGCGGTTACCCAAAGGGGTCCAAGGTGTAGCCGGGCTAGCCTATGCTCCGATTGCCTTACAAAATGTGCTTGCATCTAAACTTGGGCTTAAGCGCATTTTTACTATGTGCATCCCATCTAGCACTTCTGCTGATGGGGTCCTTATATTTGGGTCCGATGGGCCTTATAGTTTTCTTCCAGGTATCGATGTATCTAAGACTCTCAAATACACACCATTAACCATAAGCCCATTCGACGAATACTATGTAAATGTCAAGTCCATTAAAATTAACAAAAAGCCCATACCCGGCCTAAACACCACTTTGCTATCGGTAAAGGATACGGGTTCGGGTGGGGGAACCACATTTAACACCTTGTTACCTTACACCATCCTAGAAGGATCCACTTTCAAGGCTGTTATTCCCTCCTTGGGGCACTTGGCCCACTCCACCATGGGCTACTCCCCCATGTCCGTACCCCTCCACTCCATGGGCCAGACCTCCAGCAGGGCCCAAACCTCAGCAAAATGGAATTCTCGGCCCTAGACCCCAGCAACAAGCCTACAGCACTCAAGCTCCTTCGACAGTAGGCTATGCTCCAACTGATATCGAGGCCGCAATGCACACTCTCTCCCTCACTCCTCCTGATGAAAATTGGTACATGGATACCGATGCTACCTCTCATATCACATCTCATCAAGGTACTCTCTCGTCCTATTTTAATTTGAGCACTCATAATATTATTGTTGGTAATGGCAATGAAATTCCAATTCGTGGTTATGGTCAAAAATCCCTACCTCCCTTCACCTTAAAAAATGTTCTACATGCCCCTAACCTTGTCAAAAATCTGATTTCTGTCCGAAAATTTACTAATGACAATTCCGTTTCCATCGAATTTGATCTGTGTGGTTTTTTTGTGAAGGACCTTCGGACGGGAACCATTCTTATGAGATGTGAGAGCTCCGGCGAGCTTTACCCTTTCACCAATGCCGTGCATCACGCCTCTACTCCATCCACTTTTGCTGCCTTTTCCTCTAACTTGTGGCATGACAGATTGGGCCACCCCGGGACCAATATTTTAAAGACTCTCAAGCAACAAGATTTTATTAGTTGTAATAGAATTTTGGATGATAGTGTGTGTTCTTCCTGTGTTTTTGGCAAGCATGTAAAACTTCCTTTTTATCCCTCTACTACTTGCACCACTATGCCTTTTGATATTATACACAGTGATATTTGGACATCTCCAAAATTGAGTAGTGTGGGTCATCATTATTATGTTTTATTTGTGGATGATTTCACCAATTTTTTGTGGACCTTTCCTATCTCTAAAAAATCTCTAAGTCTACTCCATATTTCTTGAATTGCATGCTCTTGCTAAAACTCAATTTGAACGTGATGGTAAGTGCTTTCAATGTGATAATGGTGGTGAGTACGATAATGACCCTTTTCGACATTTTTGTGCTTCTAATGGAATGGTCTTCCGTTTCTCATGCCCTCACACTTCCCCCCAAAATGGCAAAGCCGAGAGAAAAATCCGCACCATCAACAATATCATGCGCACTCTACTTGCCCACTCCTCTATGCCACCCTCTTTTTGGCACCATGCACTCCAAGTGACGACTTATCTCCACAATATCTTACCCACCAAACTCCTTTCTTATGACTCACCTACAAAAATCCTATATCATCGTGACCCATCTTACTCACACTTGCGGGTTTTCGGGTGCCTTTTCTATCCTCTCCTTCCCTCCACCTCCATAAATAAGCTTCAATCTCGCTCCACACCATGTGTGTTCCTTGGGTATCCCTCTAACCATCGAGGCTACAAATGCTATGACATTTCCACTCGAAAAATTATCATCTCCCGACATGTGATTTTTGATGAATCACAATTTCCCTTCGCAAAAATTCACTCACCAAAACCCACTGACTATGATTTCTTATCTGATGGACTTTCCCCCATCCTCACTCATCATCTCTACACTCAGTCCAATCCAACTCCTGCAGCCCAAGTCAGAAGCCCAGCAGATCAGGCCCAGCCTAATCTTTCTCACGGCTCCCCTCAACCTCACACAGTTCTGGGCTCACCTCAGCCCACCCCGGTTTTTGGCTCTCCTCAACGCCCCCCTTAGCCCAATAACCTCCTATCCCCCTAGCCCAATAACCTCCTCACCACCTCTTCTGATGCTCTTCCGGTTTCTATTATGTCAAAATTGTGCTCCGAGTTTGCCATGACTGATCTCGGCCCACTAAGCTCTTTTCTTGGGATTTTGGTTACTAGGCATGCTGATGGTTTATTTCTATCTAAAAACTCATATGCGACCGAAATAATTGCTCGTGCCAACATGTCCTCATGTAAGCCATCCGCCACTCCCGTAGACACCAAAGCCAAACTAAGATCCACTTCCGGCCCTCCCGTCGATGATCCAACTTTGTACCGAAGTCTAGCCGGGGCACTCCAATACTTGACCTTCACTAGGCCTGATATCAGCTACGCCGTGCAACAAATTTGTCTATATATGCATGACCCTCGCAAAGAGCACATGGCTGCCCTTCGTCGCATATTGCGGTACCTTCAGGGGACCTTGAAACTCGGCCTTCATCTTTATTCATCTCCCACCAGTAGCCTCATCTCTTACTCGGATGCCGACTGGGGTGGCTGCCCTAACACCCGTCGCTCAACGTCAGGCTACTGCGTCTTCCTTGGCGACAATCTGATTTCGTGGTCCGCCAAACGACAACCAACTGTATCCAAATCCAGCGCTGAAGCTGAATACCGTGGCGTGGCCAACGTCGTTGCCGAATCTTGTTGGTTGCGTAATTTGCTTTTGGAGCTCCATTGTCCTATTACAAAAGCTACTGTTGTGTACTATGATAATGTCAGCGCCGTGTACCTCTCCGGCAACCCTGTCCAACACCAACGGACTAAGCACATCGAAATGGACATAAACTTTGTCCGAGAAAAGGTCGCGCTTGGCCAAGTCCGTGTTCTCCACGTCCCTTCTCGTTACCAAATTGCACGATATATTCACAAAGGGCCTTCCTCAACTTCTCTTTGATGACTTCCGCAATAGTCTAAGCGTTCATGAACCTCCCGCTTCGACTATGGGGGTGTATTAGATTATGTATAGTTTATTATTGCATTTATTATGTTCACTAGATTAGTTGTACCTAATCATAGTTAATGGTGTGTATTCTTGTATTTATACACGGTTATAATAATGAGTACTCAAGGGGTTATTTCCTATACTTTTGTTTTTGAACACGCGTGTTTACATGTAATATTAGGAAAAACTGATGGTGCGGTCAAAATCAATATAAATGCTCATGTCTTGGAAGGTCGGTGTATGGGTCTGGGGATTGCTATTCGTGATGCTGAGGGTCGACTACGTCTCCTTGCTGCTGTGAATGAAGAGGGTGGTAATACTGTGGGCTGCTGATATTGCTGAGGCTGCGGAATATTTGAAGAGAATTTAGGGTGTTTAATGCAATTCTAAGAGTTGGTATGTGATCTTTTATAGAGGTCTTAACTCTTAAGTAGCCGCAACTCCATAAAGGCACAATATGCTAAAATAATCGACGTTATACTAACAACCAACGCATGCAACCAATTCGTGGTAAGATACTCATCATTTCGTTTACGAGTACTTGCAACACTTGAGTTTGCATCTGATCCTAATTAATGATGGTTAAAAAATAAAATAAAAGACTTTTTGTGAGGGATTACCTACGGAGTGATAAAACTGAAAATTTTGTGAGAAATTATCTAATACAAAATATGTTGTAAGAAATTATCTCTTAAAATGTAAAATGTTGTAAAATACTATCATCGACCGAATTTCTACCATTGACTTAATTTTATTACAACGTTGATCCACCTTAAAACACCTCTGAAACCACCATGAGGGTTGGTTTTCAAGGTGGTAAGGTTATTTTCGAAATGGTTAATTGAATGGTTCTTCTAAGTTGATGAGGCCATGAGGATAGATTAGTGCTTCAGGATGGTGGTTTTTGGGGTTATAGGTGGTAAATTTGGGGTAGAAAAGTGGTTTAGATGTGGTGCCTGGAGGCGATTTTAAGCAAGTTGTGTTAGTTATAGGAATGAAAGCGACGGTTTCGAGAGTGTTTTGAGGTTGCTCAACGGTGAAAATTCAGTATAGGTAGTATTTTAGAACGTTTTACCTTTAATTAGGTAGTTTTTTTTATATAAGATTTTACCTTTATTAGGTAGTTTACTACTCCCTCCGTTTCATCATGTTAGTCCCATATACTATTTTGGGCGTTTCAAAAAGATCTACTCATATTGAATATATTTCATTTATAACTTGATTTTTTTGAAATTAATTGATTGTAGATTGATGACATGACTCTTAATAAGGAAATTTTTACCTTTAATTATGCAATTGTGACTTGTGGTTTCCTAATAAAAAATCAAAAAAGTTAAATAGGGTAAACTAATTATGAATTATGTTGTACTTTAATGTTATTTTATGTGATTGATTCCATATGGGCCTAACATTATGAAACAGAGGGAGTACGATATTTTTTTTATTAGGTAGTTTCTCACAAAATCTGAGTTATATTAGATAGTTTTTGACAAAAAGTCCAAAAAAAATGTACAATATTGCCAGGAAATTATCATTCTAGGATTGCATAGGATAAATCAACTAAGAAATTAAGCTGCTAGTTGAAACTAATTTGAATTTGTAATTTACTCGCACTCCCTCATAATATTCCACTTTAAAATAATGAGTAAATTAGATTTATTTGAACTAGTTGAATTCTTGTCTTGTGGAGTTGTGGCCGCTCTTGGTACCATGTTATAACTAGTATCAACCCAACCAAAATTTTAAGTTGATGACCCGGTTAAAACCTATATTTATATTTCATACACTATTATACTGCATGCTATTTATTTAATCATTTTAATGCAACTATATACATCCGGATCCCTAGCTAATCTTGTGTTTATCCAAAAGAAAATTATATGATCATTACCATGCATCCAATGCAATAGATTGACTAATACCACCTCTAAAGTCTCAATTAATTAATTTAATGAAGAATACAAGACACTAATGAAGATTTGATAGACGAGCAGAAAATTAAACTACATATACATTTACATACCTTAGTTCGTACTTTACAAAATCACCCATTAATTCCTTTACCTACCAAATGGAGCCCAAGAATTTAAAACAAAAATAGTAAACTATATCTGAATGAAAATTACAACTACAGATCAGATTTACACTTGTGCTTTTTATACATTCACTGCTGTAGTTATCAGATCAGTTGTTGTAATGAAAATTTGTCATGTGGTCGAAATCGAGTTACGTACACTCAACACTCCTGTACAAGTAAACGTTTACCTGCCGACATCTAATTAAGAACGAAAAATCACTTTCATTTAACGCTTGGAAAATATTATATGGTGGAAAAATATAACCATGTATAATGTTGGGCGTTACAGAAGGAAGCATCTGGCTATATATGACACTGAACCGTGTATCATAAATCTTGCGTTAATTAATTAGGTTAGATTTTTACATCAATAAGGCATGCAAGAATAGAATTGAGAAACTGTTGATGATTGAACTAATGCATGTGTTGTCGTACCGTACGTGGTAGAGCTAGTTGGGCCTTGGGGGATTATGATGATTGGTAACATTATTACTAACTTAGGGTAACTATATTGAATCATCTTAACCCACTTCTCTGGACTCCGCCTTCCTCCTCTATCGTCCCTTTTCTTATGATTGCGTGGTTTTCTTTCTTTAATTTGCTATCCAAACAAAGTGTAATTTTAGTCGTTTGGGGAGATAAGATACCTATCCAGCTTAAATTTCTCACAACTCAATTTTTCAATGTAGTTTGATTTTTTATTATTATCATTTTTATTTTTTTTTTAAATATAAGAGTTGAATTTCAAATATGGTCCATTTAACCCAAAAACAAGCTAAATATGTGTATTCACTTCACTTTTCTAATCCAACAAAATCATACTCATATTTGCTCTCGAGGAGTAGGTGAAGTGCAAAATGTGCTAAACCGATCACACACGTTGCTGAAACTAGGTCCAAGTGCAAAATTTCCTGCACATGCTCTTTATTCTTAGCTATGTATTGAAGATGGTCCCTAATTCAATCATTTACAAAATTCAATAGGACCAATATTTGTCAATTGTCACTATATCTAGCTAAAACACCTTTCAACTAAATAAAATACTCCATAACAAGACCCAGTGCTAAGCCTAGGACGGCCCGAGGAGAAATTCTCGGTCTCTAACAATTAGAGCCGTGTCCAAATTTCAAACCAATGTAATGCATTAATGGCATACTGGGAGTTGATAATTATATTAATGTCAAGCTTTAGAATGCGGCCGTTAGTAGTTAATTACCTTATTTTGAGCTTTTGAAAAATCAAGTTAATAAGTTTGATTGAATCTCGTGTAAGGCAGGTGTACGTTAATTTTATTGTAAGACGATTAATTTAAGGGTAATTTTAACTATTTTTAATGATAACTTAACCCCTTAAAGGTTAACTTTTGATTTGTCGTTGGTTTGAATTTTATTTTAATATGTAATTACTTATTGATTCATGATTACATGTTATAAAGGCTTATGAAAATAGATGATCTTATAGGAAAAACCTACCAAATGCATTATGGAGTGCAGTAGAGAATAGATTATGATTTTACAACCATTCAATGAGTTCAAATGAGAATAGATTATCTTTTTCCATCCTAAAGACTAAGCTAGAGATATAACATGGTAGAGTTGGAAATGTTAGTAATAAATAAATACTCACAGTATTAATCGTATACTTGTATTTTAGTAGGGAGTATCATATAATACTTCATACATTATACAAATTAAAGTAGTTTCTTAATTATAATACACCCTATGAATCTATGACGTAAAATATATTGATTCAACAATTGTGTATTCGTTGGACTTGTATATACCATTTACATCACATTCGACATTTTGTAATTTATATGTATGAACTTATGTATCTGATTAACATGATTTATGAATTTGTATTTAAAAAATAGGCGGACGATAAATTATGGTGCACTTTACTAGCACACATGACATGCACACCATATATCATGTCCTATTATTAACGCATTATGGGAAACGCACGAAGCGACTTGGCCTTCTGTATATTAATGCCGTAAATATCATCCAAGTCCAAAACTTGCTGAAGGTCCTTAATGTCTTCGAGTTTCCAATCAAATGAACTAATTAAGTTACCCAACATCAATGAAATCATATGTATGGCCAAGTGCATCCCAGGGCAAATCTTCTTTCCGGCACCAAATGTAAACAATTGATTAAATTGGCTCGTTACATCATTCTCCAACCCTAAGAACCGCTCTGGAATAAACAAATCCGGATTAGACCAAGTTTGTGGGTCACGTCCAATAGACCATACATTAACTATAAGCATTGCACCCTGAGGGAGGTGAAAGTCATCAATTTCCACGTCTTTCACCACTTTGCGAGGGATCAATAATGGATTTGTTGGGTGAAGTCTTAGTGTTTCTTTTATTACTGCTTGTAAGTATGGAAGTTCGGAGATGTGAGAATCTAGGATGAGTTTTGTATTGAATTTTTCCAACACTCTATCTAGTTCTTTTTGCAACTTGTGTAAAAAGATAGGGTTTTGAAGTAACTTTGCCATTGCCCATTCCAATGTTTTTGAGGTTGAATCCATTGAGGGTCCAAGGTAATCCTAACATGTATGCAAGAATTTAAGCTTTAGTATATCAAATATACAATTAATTACTTCTCTTACATTGATAATATGCATGTGATATCAAATATATACAATTAACTACTTCTCATACATTGATAATATGCATGTGATATCAAAGGTTCTATCTATTCACAACATTTAATTTATAATAAAATAGAAATAACAATAGATTCAAAATTAGTTTCTAAAATGTGCCAGAGTCAAAGTAATGCAGTTATTGGAAAAGGGCATACAATCAAACTTATAATTTTAGTAATTAATTTCAAACTTGGACAATTTTCTAATTTTTTTTTTTCATATTGCTTTAATACTTAAAATCTTGTGTGAAAACCATGCAAATATTTAATATGCTACTCGTATCCTATGGGGCTCAAAAGGAGTAATATACTTACCAATAGCATATGGTTGAGATAATCACGGTTGATTTCGTCACTTTGTTCTTCCATAACATCTAACTTCACGTCCAACAAATCATTGTACAATTCTGAACCATGCACTTGATCTTTCCTAGACTTCAATCTCATATCTATAATTTCATCAAATAACTTAAACAATTTAACACAATAACTTGTTAACCGATTTCTTATGCGTTGTGGATCGATCATTTTAAGAAAGGGATAACAATCCACTATGTTAGGTCTCTCAATCTCTTTTATGATACAATCCATCAAATCCTTTACCTCTTTTATCCTCTCATCACTACGCAAATCATTGGAGAAAACCGTGCTAGATATCATGTCGAAAGATGTATCATTAACTGCTTGTCCAACATCGACTAAGATGTTGGCTTGGGAGCATCTTTTCACATAACATAGCAAGTCCTCCAACTTACGGTACCTATGAGTTTGCATTGATTCGATCACCTTGTTACTTAATAACCGCGTGTTGAATATTTTTCTAAGGACCTTCCACAAGGGTGAAGAGGCTGATGACGTGCCAATGGAGTACTTATCATGATCATGAGCTCGGAAAGCATCAAGGCTATATAGGGTGGAGAAAATATCATGGTTTTTTAGAAGGACTTTTTTGGCAAGCATGGAACCCGAAATGACAATGGTAGTAATGGAGCCGAGTTTAAGGCTCAAAATAGGGCCATGAGTCTTAGCAAGCTCGGAAAAGTACTTGTGAGGTTTTGTGGTGTAGGGTAACATGTTCAAGAGGTTTCCAAAGATAGGCAAAGGAGAAGGTCCGGGAGGTAAATTTGTATCATTTGATTTGGTTTTTAAAAATGAAAGAAATAAAAAGATTATAATTGGAAATAATGGTATAATCCAAGTAATATAGCTCAACAAATCCATAATGCTATATTGATGTATTGTTTAGATTGTGAGGGGGGATTTGTGAGGAGGGTTAATTAGGCTTGTATTTCATTTATCGATGTGTCATTGTGGAAGGGTATAATCTTTCTTATATAAAGGTATAAAGTATCAACAACTCGTACATACAAAGGCTGCCTTAATTCCCTTGAATAATGCGTTAGGTCGTCAACTAAAGGTTTTTTTTTTTTTTTTGTGACAGACTCGTTTTATTTATTAATCAAGCCGTTTTGATTTTTTAAAAAATAATTAAAATTATAGGTGTGAGATTTTAGCTTTATTTTATGCTTTATTTTATGTATCTAACAAAGTAAGAATAAACACCGTATACGTACTCCATCTCTTCTGCACGTTTATTATGCTACTCAAGATCACAATACTTGATACTTGTCAGAATTCAGATCATAGTATATTACTATAGTATAGGAGTACTGAAAACCATGTTAATAGAATATTAGATATGGTTAATCATTACGGATCTTACGCATTACATTAGTAATTACGTACGCAGCTACTTCACCGTCCTTATGTAGTAGAGATAGTTTATAAAAAGCTAATAATGCAATTAGATTAAAAAAATCAATGTCAACCAGGCTTCACTATATATATAGTGAAGTACTTCCTCCGTTCTTTATTACTTGACCCGCTTTGTCTTTTACACTATTCATTACTCCTTCTTTGACCTTCTTTTGTGAATAATATGTAAGGAAAAAAATATATTCATGTATGATCTTTTTGGATTCATCTCAATAAGTACTATCATAATATATAATTTTTACTTATGGAGAATTTAAGTTATTGATCGTTAAAGTTTTACATTGGCAAGCGTGATAAAAGAAACAGATCAAGTAAAAAAGAACAGAGGAAGTAGTGAATAATTTGTTGAGCCCATGGGAAAATCCACATATGAGTGGTGTGTTGTCCCACATTAATTGAGTGTATAAGTAAGAATTTGCATGGGGATGCGTATCCTACATTGAAAAGTATAGAAAATTGTGTCCACTTTATAAGGCTAAGGGGCTACTCCTCTCATTGCCATATGGTTTTGAGGTGGAAATTCCTTGTCGTATAAAGTGGACAATTGTGACCGATGTGGCCTATGCCCGTGTATCATAATTCAATATAATTACTTATCTACTCCTCGGATCGATTAATCCCTAGAGTAACCTCTAGCCAAATCCCTCAATTAATCTATGACCGAACCCCTATAATGGCCGAATAATTCGGGTAATCCTGGCCACACAATGTGACTAGTCCTACATAAAAATTTGTGTTACATTGTAAAGAGGAAGTTGTTCGGGAAGGATCCAGTGTCAAAATAACCCTTCCATGCTCAAATTAATGTGAATAAAGGGACCGAAATTTTGGAGATTAAGGCGATATATCCATGATTTCCTATCGTTAACGATAATAATGACAACTATTAAGCGAATTACAAACCAAATATGAAGAGACTACGGTAGATATTATTGTAAGAAACTTGAGCAATCAAGCTCCACCAAATGGACTACGAACTAATTAATAGAAAATAGATGATGGTTTTACAACCATTTGATGAAATAAATAATATGAAAATAATTAATGATTGATAGAGTACATTAGCTCTAATACCAAATTGAAGGATCAATTCAACCAAAACCTTAATTCTTAAGCTAATGGTTAATAGTTGAGACCAAGAAATATATTTACATTCTATTCTATTAATGATGATATCCAATTAGAAAGCCACGTACACCCACAAAACAAATTAGGAAATTGGTGGATGTACTTCAGCAACCAAGCAAACCCAAAAATAAAATAAAATTGATTCGATGATGACGGCTGTTGTGGAAAAAAAATTATATAATTGATCTTGCGGAAGAAAAAAAAAAGGGATCTTAAACCCTTGGCTGTGATACCATGTTAAAATAAGAGGAAAAATCTGACTGTTTGTATTCCTCTATGTTACACTTAAATTTATTACATGCCTTATATAGGCTACACAACTATGGAGCCCTAGTATTCAATGAGAATATAATAAGTCAGACCCAATACACAATATGGGCCTTGTCAATGCTTTCAATAATACTTCATAGTGGCTGATCATAATAGACAAAATTAATGAAAAATACATATTATAATTGTATTTGAATATTCCATTTACATCATATACGACATTTTCAAAGTTTTGTGAATTTATCTAATTGTTTGCCGTAATATATTTTAGTACAAGCAACAATAGGTTGACTATAAATTGTGATACTCTTTAGAGTCTTTACGAGGTCGCAAAATTTAATTCAATGCAAACGATTAATGGGAAATGCACGTAACGACTTGGCCTTCTTTATGGTGATGCCATATATGTCATCCAAGTCCAAAACTTGTTGAATGTCCCCAATTTCTTCAAGTTTCCAATTAAACGAACTAATCAAGTTACCCAACATCAATGAAATCATACGTATGGCCAAGTTCATCCCAGGGCAAATCTTCTTTCCCGCACCAAATGTAAACAATTGATTAAATTGGCTCGTTACATCATTTTCCGACCCTAAAAATCTCTCTGGAATAAATGAATCCGGGTTGGTCCAAATTTGTGGGTCGCGCCCAATAGACCATGCGTTAACCATAAGCATTGCACCCTTAGGGAGTTGAAAGCCATCAATTTCTACGTCTTTCACTACTCTGCGTGGGAGTAATAATGGAGCTGTTGGATGAAGTCTTAGTGCTTCTTTAACTATTGCTTGTAGGTATGGAAGTTCGGAGAAGTGAGAATCCAAGATTATTTTTGTATTGTATTTTCCCATCACTCTATCTAATTCTTCTTGCAACTTGCATAGAATGATAGGATTTTGAAGTAACTCTGCCATTGTCCACTCCATTGTTTTCGAAGTTGTATCCATTCCTGGTCCAAGGTAATCCTATCATATGAACATAAAAAAAACATATTATGCTTCAGTATTATTATCTATGTCATTATTTTACATATGTTTATAAAACAAAGTAATCTTGAGAGAGGCAAATTAGTATATATACTTACTAATAGCATATGGTTGAGGTGATCTCGGTTGATTTCGTGACTTTGTTCTTCCATAACATCTAACATCACGTCCAACAAATCATTGTTCAATGACTCCGAATCGTGCACTTGCTCTTTCCTAGACTTCAATCTCATATCTATAATTTCATCAAATAACTTAAACAATTTGACACAATAACTTGTTAAACGATGTCTTATACGTTGTGGATCAATCATTTTGAGAAAAGGATAACAATCAACTATGTTAGGTCTTCCTATATCTTTTATGATACAATCCATCAAAGCTTTAACCTCTTTTATTCTTGCATCATTACTCGAATCCATGGAGAAGACAGTGCTAGATACCATATCGAAAGAAGTATCATAAACCGCTTGTCCAACATCAAGTGAGATGTTAGATTGCGAGCATTCCTTCACATAACATAACAAGTCCTCCAACTTCCGGTGCCTATGAGTTTGCATTGATTCGATCAACTTGTTACTCAATAGCCGAGTATTGAAAATTTTCCTAAGGACCTTCCACAAGGGTGAAGAGGCCAATAATGAGCCAATGGAGAACTTATCATGATCGTGAGCTCGAAAAGCATCAAGGCCATAGAGGGTGGAGAAAATGTCATGGTTTTTTAGGAGGACTTGTTTGGCAAGCATGGAACTCGAAACGACAATGGTAGTGATGGAGCCTATTTGAAGGCTCATGATAGGGCCATGAGTCTTAGCAAGCTCGGCAAAGTACTTGTGAGGTTTGGTTATGTAAGGTAACATATTCAAGAGGTTTCCAAAGATGGGTAAAGATGTAGGTCCGGGAGGTAAATTTTTATCATATGATTTGGTTTTTGCAAATGAAATTAAGAAAAAGATTATGATTGGAAATAATGGTAGTGCCCACTTAATATAGCTCAACAAATAATCCATGTTTTGATGTGTATTTTGAGTATATGTGAGTTGGTTTTGTGAGGAGAGTACTGATAGATGTGCCATTGTTGATTGACTTGATCTCTCTTATATAGAGGTCAAAGCAATAGCAATAATAGTAATAGCCTCCAATAATGCATAAGATCCTCAACGTGCTTAAATAATGAGTTTCTTACACTTTAAGTTTATCCTGTTATTTTTTTTTGGTAGTTTGTATGCCCCATCCTATAAATGATTATGACTTATAACATTGGGGTAGGTTTTGAGACTTGTATTGCATGGTATCATTGTACGTAATGATCTTTTTAAAATAGTCAGCTTAATATTCTTTCCTTGTAAAGAAAAATAACCATTATTTAGCTATTTCATTTGAGTTGTACCTTATTTTTTGCAGTTGAATTATAGAAGTATATAGAGGCTCGTTAGGGTATTATTACAAAACAAATTAAAGATTGGGTCTCTTAGTAATGATACATCTTACTCGATCAAATACTAAGAATTTATATTAATGCACTTTATATAAGACAGTAAGACTTAATTTTACCCTAATCTATTAGTGGGTTTGAAGATGGGTCCTAACTTCTTAGTATTGACTTATTATTATTATTATGTATGTTGCCCTTAAGATATCGACGTTGGTTAAGGAAAATGATAATGTAGAAGAAATAAACGGAAAAAATCAAATATAAAGCTAATATTCCCCTTTCGCTCTTATTGTATTATCTAGGTCGTAAAATACTAGATGTAACACCCCGACCCCAAACAAATTAGGAAGGGGCCAATTGTCACGAAATACGCATTGAGGGCCAACAACTGTCCTCACAAACCAACACAAGTTCTTTCGGCGCATTTTGTCCTCACTCTGTACCCCGAGAAAACTTCTCAGGAGGTCACCCATCCCAAGACTACTCCAAGCCAAGCACGCTTAACTATGGAGTATTCTTAACATATGAACTCCGTAAAAAAAAAGATGTATCTTGTTGATATGAGTAGTATATCAAATCCTTTTGAATCAATCATGAGGGGTACTACACTAGATCATCAAAATAATAGTACATGAGGATTGAGATATGTGGTCAAGTTCATTTCCTTTCCCCTAAAAAGACGTGTTATACTCCTAATAATCAGGCAAACTTAATGGAAACATAAGAAATAAATTTAGAAAAAGCGGGCATACAATTTTACATTAATAAGTTGTGGGTAACTTGGCAAGCATGGCAGCATTAATCTTCTCTGAAAATATGAGATATACAAAGTTATGGTCTCTACTATTTCCTAGATAACGTACTGACAAATTAACAATCACGGTTGTGACTCGTGACTCGTGAGGCATACAAGTAATGCAACATGGCCACTTGGAGAAAAAACAATTTTATTAAAGATAACATATTATAGTAAGGAGTATCAAGTTATACTCCGAATCGGTTAGCAACCAAAATAAATCATTTTATTACTATTATTATCAACAAATTATTGCTATTATTATCAACAAATTAATATGAATAATTTGTTGTCAATCAAACTTAATAATTTGCTGCTAGAGTTGGCAATGCATCACGCCAAGTACTTTATACTACCTCCAGTTCTTGTTACTTGTAACAATTATAAAAAATGAATGGTTCACATTACTTGTAATAATTTTGTTTCTTTCTTTTTTTAGTAAGTTTTTAGGTGGTAAAAGACCAATATACCTTTACTTTTTTTAAAAAAAAAAAACAACTTTATTAAATTACAAATCTGATTTCATTAGATTAAACCCCCAAGCTTAATTAGTCGTACCCTCATCCTCATTATTTTCCTCTCTTCTCTTCCAACCACTACAAAAAAAGGCCGATTTCCGACGGAAGTGTTCCGACGGACACAAAAATCCGTCGCAAATCGCAAAATTTCCGATGAAATAAACCTGTCGGAAATTTTCGACCGAATTTTATTCTGTCGGAACTTTCCGACAGATTTCAAACAGTTCCGACGAAAATTTCGTAGCAAATTAAAGTATATTCCGACGGAAAATTCTGGGAAATTTCCTACGGATTTAAACCCGTTGGAAAATATTTAATTTCCGACGAAAAGGCATCTGACTATATATATTATTAAAAAAGAAAACGACGTATAAGTAGCTAACTTTAAAGCAACCCCCTCATTTCAGTTTCCCTTTCTATTTTCTCTTACCCTTACATCGTCGCACTCCCTCTCTCTTTATCCCTCCTCTCTCGCTACTCTCTCTCTTTTCTCGCTACTCCCTCTATTATGTTGCTTTCCGGCCAAGCTAGCCCACAAAGCATCCCCGAGTTATTTTCCAACTCTCTCAAGTGGCACTATGGTTTTGCAAAATTATGTATAGTGTCCTTTTCTTTTAGTTTATGGGTAACTTTTATAATTAAAATGGTTAATCTAAGTTTTTTGGTTTAAAAATTAATTAAATTATATTTTAAAATAATAAAATAAAATACAAAAGGAAATTTTTTAAAAAAAAATCTCAAACCCACAACCACCCTCCCCACCACCACGTCCACCCTCCCACTACCACGTCCACCATCCTCAACCCCAACCCCCATCCGCCGGTGCCAAGAATCTCTTTTTACCGCGCCGGTGCCGGCGGCCCCATCCCCCTACCCACTGAACCCACCACGGCACCACCTGAACCCCAAATACCCAACCCGAAACCCCTTTAAAACCCTCTCCCACCACTTTAAACCCCGAATCAGGCCCTCCCCCACCCTTGAAACTCCGACGCCCAAGGTTTCGAGGGTGGGAAAGGTCCGTATTTGGGGTTTAACGTGCCGGGGTGGGTTTATTCAGGTTTCAGGTTGGATATTTGGAGGAGGGGGATTCAGGTGGTGGGTTTAGTGGATAGGGGGACGGGCTGGGTTGTCGAAATGGTGAAGGTTATCTGGGTGGCGGCGAATGGTGAGGGAGGGCTGGGTTGTCTGAATGATGAAGGTTGTCGCCTTCCGGGATGGTGGTGGTGGGGAGGGTGGTCGTAGCTAGGTTGGGGGCTGTGATTTTTTTTTTTTTTTTTTTTTTTGAAGAATTTGATTTTTTTAAAAAAATATTAATTGTGGTTAACCAAAAAATCAAAAGGTTAGCCATAAAACCCAAAAAAGGACACTATACGTGATTTTTCAAAACTTGGATCTCACTTGAGAGAATTGGAAAAAAGTGTGTCTTCCACGTAGAAAAATTAAAACCTGGAGACCACCATGTAGAATTTCCCTTTTTTTACATCTAATTTATGGTTTTAAGGTCAAGTTCGACCATGGAAACGAGATCTAGCGTTTTCATGGTCGAATTTGACCTTATATAACCAAATTCAGACTAAATTTGGTTGATTGTGGTCGAATTGTACTCTTGTGGCAAGTCTACAATTTTTTTTATCATTAGTTTTCAATTTTTTTGTTCAGATTTTTTTTTTCAATTTTCATTTTTATTTATTTATTTATTTTCGGGTTTCTAGTTTAGTAGATTGAACATATGTGGCTGTGGTGGCTGTTGGAGTTTGGGTATTGGGTTGGGATTTTTTTTTCTTTTTTTTTTTGTTAATTTTTGGGTTGTGATGGTTTGTTTCGGCGATGGCGGTGGTGGTTTTAGGTGGGTGGTGGGGTGGTTTGCTTAGGTGGGGTGGTAGATCTGGGCTTATTCATGTAGGTTAGGGTTAGGTGGGTAGGGGTTTTGGTAATTGTGGGTGGTGGAACGGGTTAGGGGGGCTGGTGATACGGGTTAGGGGGCTAGTGATACGGGCTAGTAGCCGGTGGTGTGGGTTGGTGATACGGGTTAGTGGGCTGGTGGTGGGGGTGGTGGGAGGCTTTTTTTTGTTTTTTTTAAATTATTTTCCGACGGAGTTTCTCTTGCAAATTTCTGACAGTTTGTGTCCGTCGAAAATTTTCGACGGATTTTTTCGGTGCCGGAAAATCACTTCCGACGAATGAATTTCGTCGAAAAAGTGTTTCCGACCGACCGTTTTTCCTACCAAAGCTTTTTCGACAACCCGTCTCGTCGGAAACGGGTTTTTTCGACGGATTTCAGGGTGTTTCCGATGGAATTTTTTCGTCGAAAATGGGTTGTTTTTTAGTAGTGAACCCCATAGGCCCATACTCATAGTGGCTTCGTGGGTTAAGAGCGGCGGGTTCGTCAATGTTGGGTGGTTTCAGATCTTGGGTTTCATAATATAAGTGTGGTTTCAGACGTCGATCGTGGGTGATTTCAGATCGTCGCTCGTCGGTGTGGTTTTAGATCGTTGCTCGTCGATATGGTTTCAGATCGTCGTTACTGGGTAGGTTACATATTGTGGTTGGTTAAGATTGTGTGTGATTCAGATCGTGTGTTGTTGCTTGGTGGTTCAGATCTTGGGTTGTGTCGGTGGTGATGAGTGGTTCAAATCGTGGATTGTTGCTGGGTTGTGTCGGTGGTTGTTGCTGGGTTGTGTTGGTGGTGTTGGGTGTTGTCGGTCGGTTGGTGCTGGGTTTCATTGGTGGTTGATGCTTGATTTTATCGATTGGTGGTTTTCATGCTGCTAGGTGGTGGTGGTTGGTGGTTTCGTTGTGATGGGTGGTGCTAGTGGTGGAGGGTTATGTGTTTAATTTTAATTGATTTTTTTTTTTTGGTTTGATTGATATATAAGTATATGCTCTTATTTTTCACTCACTACACTTAAGTTCTTTTGCCTAGGAGTTCACAAATATCTATGTTTGTTGCGACTAACAAAAACCAGAGTATTAGTATTGTAAATAAAATAAAAAATATCTTTTGTCTCCATTCTATTATTTTCTTAAAAGTTCGTGCAGACTTTAATGTTGCAATTATAATAAAACGGAAGAGGTTATTAAAAACCGTCTATAGTTTTCGTAGGTCTCAGTTGAATTCATGTTATGATTGTTATTACCTTTCCCTCTTTTATCACAAAGCTATGTGGTTTATAAAGTAAATTGAAAAAAAAAATGGTGAGCATTATTAATAAAGTGTAAAAAAAATTCTATTGTACGAGTAATTTCTATTCTACGCCATTTATTGTTCTACTCGTATTCAATTTTACAAACCTCAAAAATGTATTTTGCAGAAGAAAAAAAAAATGCTTGTGTCTAATATACAAGTTTTATTATCCATGCAATAAAAAAGCTTATACCACATTACCACGTAACTA